ACGTATTTGCAATATAGAGGTCAACACTTAAACAATAATTGGTTTGGTAACTGGAATGTACATCTCTTAAGATTACGGTGATTAAATCGAGCTCAGCCAAACCAAAGACAAACTAATCTAACTTAATACACCATACATTAATATGCTGCTTGTTAGTGTGTCTTGTTTCAGACAGGTAAAAGAATTAAGGCGCACTAGAGGAGCAGGAAGCCATTGACTAAATGAGAAGGGATTGATATGTTCGTGTTTCGTTGGTTGGATGTTTAATTACTTGGAAAACTATTTTGATTAAAGGCTGACATGAGCAGATATGATATTAGGTGTCAAAGTACAGCTTCCCAAAAATTCAACGGTGAAATCATTTTATGAAAGCAAAGTGAACCTCGACCCCGATAGAATTTAAATTGGTTTCAATAGTGTAAAAATTAAACACACACATGAAGGATGGCGATTTAGGCCTACCAGACAAAGACATAGAGGGTAATAAACGAGACCAAGAAGAACACGTTGTACTGGATACTGCAAAGAAATTTCAGGAAAATGCAGATTGTAATCAAAGTAAACGCCCGAAAATATTTGAAGAAAGCATAAAATAGATAATTCAGGTCCTGCTTCCTGGAAAGACTTACCAAAAACTTACCATTAACTTACCAATAACTTACCATTAACTTACCATTAACTTACCAATAAAATAAGAATTACGTACCAATAACTTACCAATAATAGGACACAAATTAAGAACTCTTTTGGTTGAAAATTGGTCAAAACAATTAAGAAAAAATTCCTTTAGATCAGTGTTTCTCGAATGGTTTCCGCGGACCGGCGCCGGTCCGCGAGCCCTTACGTTGCTGGTCCGCACAACATGAATATTCATGGTCGAATAAAAAGAAAATGTAATTAATAAATCTGGCACCGGTCCTTGGTGCAATTGCAAAACGTGTCCACCTGTCCCTCAAACTTAAAAGTTTGGGAAACGCTGTTTCAGATGAGGTTTTTAGCTGCACGAAAGAAAACGTCAAAAAGGAGAAAACGTTTATCATAAAGTTTTCTGTTTCTGCTACAACGTATTTGACGAGAATTCAAATGCAAGCAAAACTCAGATTTAGAGACCGACCGAATTTCGGCTTCGGCTTCGATTTCGGCGCCAAAAGTGGCCATTTGATCACTTTCGGCCTAATTTCAGTTTCGGCTGAAACCAAAAAAATAAATTTCGGTTTAATTTCGGCTTCGGCCGAAACTGAAATGTTAACTTTCAGTTTGATTTCGGTTCCGGCCGGAAGTGGTTGGGACTTTCGGCCATCTGGTCGAAAGTACCTAGGATTATCGGTCATCTATCAGAGGTCAGACTGTCTGTCTGTCTCAAGGCTGGCAATCCGAGATTCATTATTGCTGGTCGTCTAGCTGTCATCGTATGTTAAATGACTAATACTCTGGAAAAACTGCTCAAAGCTGCATGATGACCTACTTTTCCTTTATTTAAAAAAAAATACTTTTTTTTAAAGCAAATGTGAACAGTTTTGTGGAAGAAAAACAAGTGGTTAGGGTTACCTAAATATTTCAGTTTCGGCTTCGGTTTCAGCCGAAACCAAAAAGTTAAATTTCGGTTTAATTTCGGCTTCGGTCGAAACTGAAATGTTAACTTTCGTTTCAATTTTGGTTTCGGCCGAAAGTAACTTTTAAATTTCGGCCTATTTTTGGTTTCGGCTAAAATCAGAAAAATCACTTTTGGTTGGTCTCTACTCAGAATGAATGACACGGCTGACATAACATATTATTGACTGACAGAATATATCAGCGATTGTAATATCTCATGTATGAGTTCTAGGAAATGGCACCAGATCTTAGAGAGTGTAATATCTCTTTTAAAGGTTCCATGTGTACAACATCTTGCACAACAACTTTCAAGAATACGTTATCGAATACAAGGGAAAAAAACATGAATTTGCTTATTTAGTTATTTATTGTTTGATGTGTTTTGATTGTCAAAGAATTTCCTTGTATTCCTTGTATGACAGGGAAAGGAGCGCTATTTCAATTCTCGCTTTTTAACAAGGTGTCAAACGTTTGATGTTATATACCTTTTGTAAACCAGTGTGCCGCGAGACTTTACTGAGTGTGCCGCGGCTAAATTGCTAAAAGTAAAGAAAATTTCAAAACGGCATAAATTTGTTGAAACAAAAGTGACAAAGATTTGCTTTTTAAGAAGGTGTCAAACGTTTGAAGTTACTTACCATTTGTAAACGTCTCATATATTCTTAACATAATTATGCTGTTCATATACGATCGAAACAAATAAACAGTTTTAAAACCCATAAAAAATGTTTGGACCTTTCTACATCACCGTACTTCGAAAAAAAAAATGTGGATTTCTTTAACACTGGTAAAACTTGGAAATATTTAGAAAATTAGTAATTATACGTTTAATTTTTTTTTTCATTTTAGTTCAACAAGTAAAATAAGATTAACAGTGCTTTTTTTTTGTAAAGGATAACTTATTTGGTAGGATTTTTTTAAAATGGTTATTTATTTAGTACTTTACTCGAATAAAAGTTAAAATAAAAATGTAAAAACATGTTACTATCTAAAAAATGTGTCTGACCCAACCTGGTCAAGCAGGGCCTTATCACACCTCCCCCCCCCCCCTGACACTTTTCGGTTTTGTCCTTCCNGTCAAAAATCTCGGCCCCCCCCCCCCCCCCCCCCGCAGCTGCAGTGGTTGCATGGCCCACAAGATGGCCGTCCTTTCACACATACAAGCATCTCTCACGTTACTTGTCGATTAAGTGTGTGATGATGCAAAACTAAATTTAACTATGTGCCAAAATGCATTCTTGCATTTTAAATTTACCCAAAATGTCTTGAGACTTTAAAGATGCTAGGGGAATGAATTTATATAATGATACACATCGGAAGAGCTAGAGATGTATCTAATCGTGTTGTTTTCTAGCATCCAGCCCGTCACAGACGATTGTGTAGACATCACAATGTGACGATGCTGTAGATGTCATTATGTGACGATGGTGTGGACGCAACATGACAATAGTGTAGACTTAGGAAGACGAAATCTCAAGGTCTGGGATTTTTCTTTCGGATGATAAATTGGTTCCATACACAACAAATCGCCTCTCTCCTCGCAGCTGTATACCCAAAACGAACATCATATGTAAATGTTACAGCTTGGCATCAATAGCGTCGCAGGCGTTGCTGGAATTTTCATTGTGTCAATGTTATCCTCCAATGGGACTCCATCTCCGGGTTCGATTTCAGAGTGGTCCGTCTCTTAGAAGAGTTACCATCAAATGTTATCGAGTACCATACATCCAGGGTGCTGGAATGTTTTTGTTTTGTTTTTTGTTGCTGCTTGTCTGGGTTGGGGTGGAGATAGAAATCAAGACCGTCAGCTTTTTAGATTGACTCAGTTTAGACCAATAGGACAATCTGATCTTTAGTATGGCTAATTTTGGCGCTTGCCGCACGAAAGTCTAAAATGCCCTCTCCTAAATTGTCTAAAAGAGACACCAAATTCAACTAAGCACCGAAACAGAACAGCATCCCTGCATTTTGAATTTATCAAAACAATTTTAAGGGGGGGGGGCCTATCCCCCCCGTTTTTTCCCGAGAGCCTTTGGCACATATCATTAAAATGAGGCGCGCCTCAACCGGAATAAATTCAGTTTATGTATGTAACGAGGCGCCATTAATGCCCCCCCCCCCCCCAGGCTAGAAAAATTCCTTCCCCGATCTAATAGTCTAATAAAAATACCGAATTCCAGGATAATAAAAAAAATGTACGGCGTGTCCAGGCTAGAAAAATTCCTTCCCCGATCTAATAATCTAATAAAAATACCGAATTCCAGGATAATAAAAAAAATGTACGGCGTGATGTTGAAATAATAAAACATTTTGCGGTTAGAGAAAGGTCATTTACGGATTCGATTTCTGCCCTAGCTGCCGTTAAAGAGTACCGATAGATACACTGCTTAGTGGCGTACTCAGTGTCAGTGCTTCTCTGGGCGGGCTAAGATATTCGCCGCGCTACCTTTTAAGATACGCATTTTGCAGTTGTCCAAAAATGCTGCCCTTACATCTAAAAAGAAAAAAAAAGACATGGCATGATCACCCATCCGCCCCCTCCTATGCCATTGAACTGGCAGTGGCGCAGCTAGAGTGTTTTGCACCAGGGGACATTATTCATTTTCACTCGCTTTCCCTCCTTACTCAACCGTCTAATCTGAAACCCATTGTTTTCATCCATTAAATACCATACACTTTCATTTTTGGCGCCCCCGCTAGTCTGGCGCCCGGGGACATATTTCTCCCAACCCCCCCCCCCTGGATACGTCTCTGTCCTTTGGGACTGCACTCCTGAAAATCCCAATTGCTTCCCCCCCCCCCCCCCCCCCCCCCCCCCCCCCCCACTTTTCC